CCACATGCCTGAATGCCTCATTCCTGAATGTCTCATGCCTGGATGCCACATGCTTGAATGCCTCATGCCTGAATGCCTCATGCCTGAATGCCACATGCCTGAATGCCTCTTGCCTGAATGCCTCATGCCTGAATGCCTCTTGCCTAAATGCCACATGCTAGAATGCCTCTTGCGTGAATGCCTCATGGCTGAATGCCTCATGCCTGAATGCCATATGCCTGAATGCCTCATGCCCGAATGCCTCATGCCTGAATGCCATATGCCTGAACGCCTCTTGCCTGAATGCCTCATGCCTGAATGCGTGTTGCCTAAATTCCACATGCCCGAATGCCTCTTGCCTGAATGCCTCATTCCTGAATGCCTCATGCCTGAATGCCTCATGCCTGAATGCCACATGCCTGAATGCATCATTCCTGAATATCTCATGCCTGAATGCCAGATGCCTCAATGCCTCATGCATGAATGCCTCATGCCTGAATGCCACATGCCTGAATGCCTCTTGCATGAATGCCTCATGCCTGAATGCCTCTTGCCTTAATGCCACATGCTAGAATGCCTCTTGCCTAAATGCCTCATGGCTGAATGCCTCATGCCTGAATGCCATATGCCTGAATGCCTCATGCCTGAATGCCTCATGCCTGAATGCCAGATGCCTCAATGCCTCATGCCTGAATGCCTCATGACTGAATGCCACATGCCTGAATGCCTCTTGCCTGAATGCCTCATGCCTGAATGCCTCTTGCCTTAATGCCACATGCTAGAATGCCTCTTGCCTGAATGCCTCATGGCTGAATGCCTCATGCCTGAATGCCATATGCCTGAATGCCTCATGCCTGAATGCCTCATGCCTGAATGCCATATGCCCGAATGCCTCTTGCCCGAATGCCTCATGCCGGAATGCCTCTTGTCTAAATGCTACCTGCCAGAATGCCTCTTGCCTAAATGCCTCATGCCTGAATGCCATATGCCTGAATGCCTCTTGCCTGAAAGCATCATGCCTGAATGCCTCAAGCTTTAACGCCTCTTGCCTGAATGCCTCATGCATGAATGCCTCTTGCGTGAATGCCACGTGCCCGAATGCCTCTTGCTTGAATGCTTCATGCCTGAATGCCTCATGCCTGAATGCCTCATTCCTGAATGTCCCATGCCTGAATGCCACATGCCTGAATGCCTTATGCCTGAATGCCTCATGCCTGAATGCCACATGCCTGAATGCCTCAGGCCTGAATGCCTCTTGCCTAAATGCCACATGCCAGAATGCCTCTTGCCTGAATGCCTCATGCCTGAATGCCTCATGCCTGAATGCCATATGCCTGAATGCCTCATGCCTACATGCCTCATGCCTGAATGCCATATGCCCGAATGCCTCTTGCCCGAATGCCTCATGCCGGAATGCCTCTTGCCTAAATGCCACATGCCAGAATGCCCCATGCCTGAATGCCTCATGCCTGAATGCCTCATGCCTGAATGCCATATACCTGAATGCCTCTTGCCTGAATTCATCATGCCTGAATGCCTCATGCTTTAACGCCTCTTGCCTGAATGCCTCATGCATGAATGCCTCTTGTCTAAATGCCACATGCCCGAATTCCTCTTGCTTGAATGCTTCATCTTGAATGCCACATGCCTGAATTCCTCATTCCTAAATGCCTCATGCCTGAATGCCACATCCATGAATGCCTCATGCCTGAATGCCTCATGCCTGAATGCCTCTTGCCTGAATGCCTCTTGCCTGAATGCCTCATGCCTGAATGCCTCATGCCTGAATGCCATATGCCTGAATGCCTCTTGCCCGAATGCCTCATGCCTGAATGCCTCTTTCTTGAATGCCTCATGCCTGAATGCCTCATGCCTGAATGCCATATGCCTGAATGCATCTTGCGTGAATGCATCATGCCTGAATGCCTCATGCTTTAACGCCTCTTGCCTGAATGCCTCATGCATGAATGCCTTTTGCCTAAATGCCACATGCCCGAATGCCTCTTGCTTGAATGCTTCATGCCTGAATGCCACATGCCTGTATGCCTCATTCTTGAATGCCTCATGCCTGAATGCCTTATGCCTGAATGCCTCATGCCTGAATGCCATATGCCTGAATGCCTCATACCTGAATGCCTCATATCTGAATGCCTCATGCATGAATGCTACATGCCTGAATGCCTCTTGCCTGAAATGCCACATGCTTGAATGCCTCATGCCTTCATGCATCATGCCTGAATGCCACATGCGTGAATGCCTCGTGCCTGAATGCTACATGCCTGAATGCATCTTTCCTTTATGCCTCATGCTAGAATGCCTTATGCCTGAATGCTTCTTGCTTCAATGACCCATTCCTGAATGCCTGCTGTAGTCTTAGTTATTCAAGGAGGCCAGTTAGGATTAAGCGGGCCCGACACTCTAATGCATTGCTTCCCTTTTCTCCATATGTCCATCGCTGACCACCTCTCTCACCCACGTCTCTAGCGTATCCTATTGGCCCCCCTGATTCCAATCGCCCATCAAATGTGCATAGTGCAGCCAGCAGCGTCCATCACGCACCTTCTCCCCCTCACCAAGTTCAACAATTTCTCCCACCTCCCCCCCCTCCTTCCCCCCCCCCCCCCCCCCCCCCCCCCTTCTTCCGATCACCCACCAGGAGTGCATAGTGCAACCCTAACTCTCCATCATTATCCTCCCATCCCCTTTTGTTTTCCCTCTCCCATCCCCATCCTGGTCCCCTTCCTTATCCTCATCCCTCCTTCCCCCTCTATGCGGTGTATAGTTCAACTCGTAGCACCCATCACTCACCGTCTCGACACGCACGCACCGATCACTCATCACCACCCCTGTGTTTCCCCTTTCCTGCAACCACATATAGGCCGTGCATACTCCCATCAGTAGCATCCATCCCGTGCCGTCTCTACACTCATGCATCGATCAGCAATTAATCGTCGCTGTCCTTATATCCGCTCTTCCCCTGCTACCCATCCCGTGTGCATAGCTGAAACAGTGCCGGCCACCACACCTCCCGGTGGCCCCAGATTATGTATGACGGTAGAGTTGTCTTTAACAAGCCTGTAAGAGCAGCACAGGGGCAAGTACGTGGAAGGATATACAAGTAAAACTCTTTTGAAGGGAGCAGTTGGAGAGATATTTGGTCAGTGTGTGGGGAGGTGTTGTGCCGCACCTTCCTGGCTATACACCCTCAATATAAGCCTGTCCATGCATCATCATCCCCACTGCCCATCCCCATGTCGCCCTGTCTTCTTGATCTGTTCCAACCTCTCCACCATCTTGCGCCGTGCAGTATTCATTCAGTGCCCAACCGCTTGGGCAAGCTCATCAGGCTGGAGCACTTGGAGTTGACTGGCTGTGAGAAGCCAAGAGACGGATGCCCCCTGTCATGTCACTTACCGGGCTTGTTGAGGCTGCAAGCTCGGGATTCAGTAGCGGGCCCTATGAAAGCAGCGACTCACCCATCTCTCACAGGTCTCTTTACTGCTGAACAGGCCCTTAGATTCGTTTTGAGGTAGTCTGAGGCCTAAGAGTACACCCCTCCTGGAACTCTGTCTGTCAGAGGTGCCTCAAAATTTTAGTCTGAAAATTCAGACAAGCACAATTTTTTTTGTCTGAACTGTCTGAGTTACTTCAAATCTTAAGATGTTCATGCAGTTTTGTAAAAGCAGTTATAATAGCATTGAGTCTGATTACAGCCTACCATACCAACGCATCAGGCAACGTGCTCGTGCTCGCGCATCGCCTCTGCTCATGTCGGCGGCGTTCCAGTGTTTTTGTCACGTGCAGCGCATGGTTGTTTCTGCTCTGCTGATCTCATTTCGTTTTGTCGTTTGTGTGATTACCGTTCTGTACCCATTTTCTCGCATGTGTGCCGATTTTGTCAATTTTGGATTTGCTTTTCAAGCGATTCGATCGTTCACCCGATCTGTATCAGGTGGGCCAAGTGCCACGCAGCTGAGCTGGCAGCAGGCAGAAACTGTTGCTTGGCGTGGCATGTGAGGATCAGAGAGTGCCACACGAAACTTTCAGTACGAATCAGGAACTTTGCAATTCACACCAGTGCGTGCTGTAGATGTTTTTACAGCGAATCAGCATCAAAGTCGCCTATTCTTTACAATACGTTAGCGATAACTTACATGTGACGAGATTTTGTCTTCAGAAATCTCGTAATCACGCAACCATTTCCTCAGCGTAACTGGAAGATATTCTCGATGCACGTGTGTATTTGGATGTCCCAACTCTCGAAGTGAGCGTTGCTCACATCCTGGCACTCCACTGCCATCTCGGAAGTGGGCATATTGGAAGGAAACTTCCAAGAAACTTTGCTCCGATAAGCGCGCAGAGTGTACCACCGATACAAGTCTGAGGCTCAGCCTACCCTAGTAAAATTAGGCTGAAATTTCAGACAACTCATATGAAAAAACTCTGGAAAATCAGACAAGGTACATAAATAAATTCTTTGAGTTAAGACTAGGTACAAAAAACAAGTCTGAACGGACTCTGATTCAGACTCCAAAGTCTGATATCTAGGGCACTGCTGCTGAAGCTGTAGGGACTGAGGTTATCAGTTGTCAGCTTCATTGCCAGAACATGATTTTGTCGCGAAGTATCTGCACTAAACTTAAATATTTCTTACACCACATAATGGAATCGATTTCCTTTGCACTGGCACACTTCCAGTGGTTGTCCCCCCCCCCCCCCCCCCCCCCCTCCCCCATTTTCCTAACCAACCATCATTCTCGCTACTTACCTAAGTAAGCTACTTCTTAAGAAACCGGCCAGAAGTGCAGTGTCCAGGTAGAAGCGCATGCGCTTATAATAGGCCTGTGCTTATGTCCGGGGCCTTATGGTAACCCAAAAGTTAATGACGTAAATCAACTGAAGTTATTGATGAAGCTTCTGCAAGTGAAGGTGAATGACATTTCACGTCTGAAACCAACACTTTCAGTAGGTAGTCAAATATCATCTGATATTCTCAACAACAAGAAAACTTTGTAAGGAAGCTAACTACATGAGACAAACACCATGTACATGTCATGCACATCTACATTTTGGATGTGGCCTTCATCATCCAACACGTTGTCACACCCCAACACATCCAAGGAATGAAGCATCTTCAGCTCTGTCAGATCTTCCGGAAGGCCTTCCAGCTGCCCACAGCCACCCAAATCAAGCTTCTTGAGCCTTGTCAGGTGCGTGAAGCTAGGAGGCAGGGAGCAGACTGAGGTGCATCTGAGGTTCAGATCGTGGAGGCAGGAGAGCTGCGTGAGAGAAGCAGGGAGGTGCGTGAGAGCCGAGCACTTAGAAAGATCTAGCTTGCGCAATCTGGATAGGGCGCCGATGTGATCAGGAAGGCACGAGAGTTTAGGATGGATGTCAGTGAGCGGAGCTGGGCAACAGACTCTGGTAGACCCGTGAGCTCTTCCGCCTTCTGTATGTGCAGATGCCTCAGCTGCTGCAGGGTCCATCCCATGTCATCCGGAAGTGCCTGCATGCGGCCAGCGCTTTGAATCGTCAACGTGCGGAGGTTGGGACAGAATGCGAGGGATGGCGGCAGCTCCTCTGCCTCCCCAGCCACATGCAGCTCCAGGTCTTTCAGAGAGGGTAGAATCGCCCACGTGGCAGTGTCACTGCTCAGCCCACTGATAAGGCCAACACAAATCAGGGTCAACTTCTTGAGCCTAGGCAGAGGAGGGATCTGCAGATGAGGGGTGAGGCGTTGGCAGGTCCCCAAGGTGAGAACCTCGACGGAACGTGGGAGGGATCTGCACACTTGAATCAGCTGCGGGAACTTGCCGAGTGAAAGCTCTCTCAGCCCCCCAAGGCTGCTCAAACTCCCTGGAATTGAAGAGAGGCTGCTTCAGAAATTAATCACCAGAATCTCTAGCCTCCCAAGGTCAGTAACAAAGTCATGGATTTCCCGGATGTTAGGGCAGTGGTGGATGCACAACTCCCGCAGGTTTCTCAGCCTTCCGACCCCCCCGGGAAGCGCCGCTATCTCGCATTGACCAATAGCAAGGCTTGTGAGCGAAGACAGCTCCCCTAGGCCCTCTGGGAGCTCCGCGATGGCACACAGGCTCAGGCTCAGGCTGGTCAGGATAGCCAGCCTCGTGAAGGACTGTGGAAAGCGCTGCTCCGCGCGATTCTGGCTCAGGTGAAACACGCGGAGGTTTGCCAGCCGTCCGATGTCTTCTGGGAGCACCAGCAGCGGAGAGTTTTCGATGCAGAGGGACCTGAGAGCCGTCAGATTTCCGAACCCTGGAGGCAGCTCTCGGAGGTCTTCGCAGCAGGCCAGGTTTAGGGTTTCCAGAGATGTGAGTTGAGAGAATGAAGCAGATAGATTTGTCAGGTGCATTAGGAACAGTGACAGTGACTTGAGAGCGGGTAGCTCGTCGAAGTTTACGGGCAGGCTGACAGTGTTGCATTGGGAGATGGACAAGGTCTCTAAGCAGGACAAGGAGGCAATCCCGTGAGGCAACTCTGACAGGTTTTTGCATTTTCGGATGCTAAGCTGCCGCAGGCACGGCAGCAGATCTCCAATCTCGTCCGGAAATCTCTCGAGCCCGTTGCAATTGCGGAGAATCAGTCGCTCGAGACGGCTGCACGACGAATCTTGCGGAAACATGAGGTCAAACCGCGGGCTGACCGAATCAAACTCCAGCACCTTGAGGAACCGCAGCTGCTCGAACGAGAAGGCGTCGGATCCCTGCTCCCGCTCCCGTAGGAACAGTCGCGTTTCGTTGCAGCAAAAGAGACTGGTGAGCGTCGTGAGATGCAGGAGACTCCAAGGGATCGGATCGTCCAAAGGATTGGTGTCGAGGGAGAGAGCGGCGAGCGACGCGAGGCGCAAGAAGTCTGGAGCCTCGAGGTCGGAGCCGTCGGTGAGAGCGAGGGTGTGTAGGTGCGTGAGGTGATAAAAGGCTTCCGGCAGCTTGGCGGCTCGATGGACGCAGTAGAGGGAGAGGTGCTGCAGCTGCGTGCAGCGACGCACAAAATGGTCCACGCCAGCTTCGGTCACGGGATGGCCTTCCTCCCTCTCCCAGTCCATCGGCACGATCTCGTTCCCCACATGCAGAGCCTTCAGCTTCGGACATGATGTGGCGATATGAGCAAGAAGCGAGAGGGAGCAAAAACCTTTTTCGTAGAACCAACCCTGGCGACGCACTCTCAGAGTTGCGAAATCAATCATCACCTCGCCACACTCAGATTGGCCTGCTTCCCCCAGAGATGACCACCATTGCACGAACATACTGTGTGCGACCATTCTGTCGCCTCGAATGGTGCAGAAGCGCAGCCAATCAGCACCACCGATAAAAAAATACTCGCATCGCATCCAAACAGCGAGGGGGTATAGAGGGAATAGGGGGGTTACAGTCCAGTGACGTGTTGAATTGAACCACCAAAACGAGTGGTAGGTAAACATTTGACACCAACCTCAAAAGCGACCTGAAACACCTACAGCCTCGCAAAACGTGCTCGATGACGGAATCAACGCATAGCACGACTACCAACCTTGCTTGATAGTAGGCAGGTCACAGCACGAAATATTGTCGCGACGCGCTGGCACTAGGACGCCGCGTCGCAAGAGATGTCAAATGCTAAACGCGACGTTCAGGGCCTGAGTGTAAGGAGTACGATTTGCTGAGAAGAATAGTTGCGTTCCACAAAGTACGAGCATTGTAGGGGTATTCTAGAGAGGAAAAGTTCATTTCGGGTGGGTCCTAACCATACGTAGACAATAGGACAGGTTGGTAGAACCTTTACTACCTGCGGGTGTAACATCTACGGCCTGACTTGCGATAGTATTCTTCGACAGGGCGACCACGGGAATGCGCGAGGGAAAGGCCTAAACCGTTGCCGGTAGGGAGAAAGACGATAGGTGAACGGGATTCAAGGCCAACGTCCTGCACTACATTTTGTACATCGGCACCCAACTGTAAGAGACGATAAACGCAATCTTGAGCACCGGTTGTAGTGTTGTCTCATTCAAGCTGTAGTTTCAGTGGCTGTCAGCGGCATACACAGCTGTAGACGGACTGCTGAAGTCGAGCGTGTTGTCACCCTCTGTCGTAGCCACTGTCAGAGCCACGACTCCAACCTGAGGTTCGTCCCGCATAACGCATGCGCGCCATCGCCCTGGTGCCTCAGCATGCGGCGTCACTGCTGTCCAAGTCACAGCATGCGGCGTCACTGCTGTCCAAGTCACAGCATGGTCATAGCATGCGGTGTCACTGCTGCCCAAGTCACAGCATGCGGCGCCACTGCTGTCCTAGTCACAGCATGCGGCGTCACTGCTGTCCCAGTCACAGCATACGGCGTCACTGCTGTCCAAGTCACAGCATGCGGCGTTACTGCTGTCCAAGTCACATCATGGTCATAGCATGCGGCGTCACTGCTGCCCAAGTCACATCATGCGGCGTCACTGCTGTCCTAGTCACAGCATGCGGCGTCACTGCTGCCCAAGTCACAGCATGCGGCGTCACTGCTGTCCAAGTCACAGCATGCGGCGTCACTGCTGTCCCAGTCACAGCATGCGGCGTCACATATGCTTGTGTCACAGCATAATGTCACTGCGAGGCACGTCATAGCGAGCGGTGTCACTGCTGCTTATGAGAGACCTCACTTTTGCTCACGTCATAGCGTGCGGTGTCACTGCTGCTTAGGTCCCGTCATATGGTTACTATTGCCCACGTCATAGCGTGTGGTGTCACTGCTGCTTATGCCACATCATATAAGTACTGCTGCACACGTCATTGCGTGCGGTGTCAGTGGAGCTTATGTCACATCATATGGTCACTGCTCCTCACGTAATAACGTGCGGTGTCACTGCTGCATGTGCTCACATCACATGGTCACTGCTGCCCACGTCATAGCGTGCGGTGTCACCGCTGCATGTGCTCACATCGTATGGTCACTGCTGCCCACGTCATAAGGTGCGGTGTCACTGCTGCTCATGGCACATCATATGGTTACTGCTGCCCACATCATAGAGTGCGGTGTCACTGCTGATAATGTCACGGCAACTGCACACTGCTGCTCGTGTCAAAGCATGTAGCCTCTGCTGCTGGCATCCCAACATGAGCTGACACTGCTGCCAAGTCACAGCATTATGTTACCCCCTAAAACACTCAAATGTATGTAGACCGCAGCTTTAATGCTTGTTGTGCACAGGGAAGTGTGCGACAGCCAACTTTCCCAAACCACCCCTTGCTTTGGTGTGCTTTGCGACAAACTTTGGTGTTACCGGATTCCAACCGTTTAACACTTGGTTGGATGGCAGAAATATGAGACGCGAGCTTTAAAGCAAGGGTGCAGATTCCTGGGGGTGGTTTTTGGGCGCAATGTTTGTGTACAGTACACCCTTTGACGGGGTCTGATTCGACAGCGAAATGTTTAGGGTACGGATATCTGGCGCGAGGGATTCAAACTTGGCTGGCGATGCCAACCAATTTAGTAGAGAGATTGGGCAGGGGAATACACCGCGGAACGGCGGAAACGAAGCGTCTGGCGCAACCAAGGAATGGAACCATGTGATACCTGTTCCGCGATAATTTCACACCCCCTATCTTCAACCCCTTTGTCCTTTTCTGGGGCAATCTGACCAGGGGCGGCAGAAAAGTGACCAAGGGGGTGCACGCGCAACATGAGTGAAAGCAGATTTGCATCTAGACCACTTAGGTACCACCATTGCATATAAACTTACCGTGCTTTCCCTATCGCCACGACGATAGAGTCCGGAGAGTAGAGTTTCCGGCCCCCGACGCGTACACACAAGCCTCGTCGTATGTTGCTGGCGATATCTTCTGCTAGCTCGCGAAGGCACAAACGGCGATTCAGATCGTTTTCCCCACGTCGCTGCCTTATCGCCGAGTCGCCATGTCGCAACCGCCTCCCCGACTCCCGAGTTTCCCAGCATCCTCAGCCTCTTGCCTCCACGCTGCTTCGCGCTCCGACCATGCGACCTCCTGTGCCGCCTCGCCTCCTCATCGGCGCATCGCCGCCACATCGCCGCCACCTCGCGCTAAGTGTTCCCTAATCCACTAAACTCGCATCCGTGCTACTGAGCGCCCCCGGCTGTGCGCCTCGTCATCAGCGCGTCACAGCAAAATCGCCGCCTCAACCCCTCGCGTTCTCATCGGCGCGCCGCCTCCTCGTCGCCTCCAAGTCGCACTTCCCCTTCCCCCCAGGTCGCACCTCCCCTTTCCCCCACGTCTCACTTCCCCTTCCCCCCAGTTCACTCCTCCCCTTCCCCCCAGGTCGCTCCTCCCCTTCCCCCCAGGTCGCTCCTCCCCTTCTCCCCAGGTCGCACTTCCCCTTTCCCCCAGGTCGCACTTCCCCTTCCCCCCAGGTCGCTCCTCCCCTTCCCCCCAGGTCGCTCCTCCCCTCCCCCTCAGGTCGCTCCTCCCCCTTCCCCCCAGGTCGCACTTCCCCTTTCCCCCACATCTCACTTCCCCTTCCCCCCAGGTCGCTCCTCCCCTTCCCCTCCAATTCCTTCTATTCCTTTCGCTTCCCTCCCCTCCCCTTCCCTTCCCTTCCCTTCCCTCCCCTTCCCTTCCCTTCCCTTCCCTTCCCTTCCCTCCCCTTCCCTCCCCTTCCCTTCCCCTTCCCTTCCCTTTTTGATGTCCTCCCTTCACTTCCCTTCCCCTCTCCTCCCTTCCCTTTCCTTCCATTTCCTTCCCTTCCTTTTTCCACCCTGCACTTTTACCTTCCTACCCCTCCTATTCCCCACGGTCTTTCAGAACTCGGCCAATCTCGAAGGTCCACGTGGCGAGAAACCGTTGCAACCGTCCGATTCTCTTGATGCACAGGTCAACGGCCACGTGGCCGACTCAGGACCAAATACTAGTTTCTATATGCTCATCTAAGGAGTTACCATCTATATCAGACTCTTCACATGTCTGCCATTCTCCAGACCCCAATTGTCTCCTGAACTCCCTGCATTCATATCTTCTGCCTTTCGTGTCTGCCCTGGTGCTCGCCTCCCTGGGTTCATATCTTCTGCTGTCCCTCCCGTCCTCTACCCTCTGCCAGATCTACCTGCCCTAGTTCTCACCTCCATGCGTCTGCTTGCTGATTCCGCTCTCTCTGTTCTCTTCCTCGCTTGGTCCCCGCCTGTCCTGCTCTACCCTGCCACGTCTACATTGCCTTCCTTAGCCTTCCCCTCCCTCTCCCTGCTTTCCTTCCAAGAGATTCATCACCTAATTCCCTTCCTTCCAGTGTGACTGTATGACAGGTGACTTTCTCTCTCCTCGCTACTGTCACACCCAAGCCTCTCATGGCAAGCCTCTCATTCGAAGCCTCTCAAACCAGGCCTCTCATCCCAAGCCTCTCATTCGAAGCCTCTCAAACCAGGCCTCTCATCCCAAGCCTCTCATCCCAAGCCTCTCATCCCATGCCTCTCATCCAATGCCTCTCATCCCATGCCTCTCATCCCATGCCTCTCATCCCATGCCTCTCATCCCATGCCTCTCATCCCATGCCTCTCATCCCATGCCTTTCATCCCAGTCGCACCAAGCCCTCTCACTTCATCACCTGCCCTCAGCCTAGCCTGCTCTCACACCATGCTCTCACGTCATCAACTCACCCCCTGCTCTCCTATCTGCTGCGCTGCTTGGGCGTGCCAAGGAGGGGCAAGGGGGCGGCAGCAAGGCAAGCGAGGGAGATGGTGGCATGGGAACTGGCAGTCCAAACCTCCCTTAGCCGCCTGCTCAACGATGGCTGTTTCTGTTGCCCCTCCTGCTGATGCTTCTGCTCCTGGACACGCCTTCACCTACGCCCTTGGGACCTCCTCGCCTCTCTTCTCAACCTTGCCAAGCAAGCCACCTCTTTTCCCTCCACTTTTTCTGCAGCTGCGAGCACTGCTGCTACCACTGCTCTTGCCGGTACTGCTGCTGCTGGCCACTGCAGCATCTGGGAATTCTCAAAAGCAAGAACAATCTGTTGGGCTGAGAAGCCCTAGGATCTTTGTAGAGCTTAAGGTCTGAGTAGGATTGTAATAGCGGAAGCGTTGAATAAAGAAGTGATTGAACCACCTTGCGCTGGTATGTGAGGGCAAAGTAAGTTGAATTAAACAAGCAGATACAAGGTTTATATAATAGTACAAGGAATACGAATAGATGGATTTAAACCGTTTTACTGTTGCGATTCGATACAGTGCGACTCGGGCAACTGCTCAATGTCGAGTCAGTTGTGTGTCCTTGCTGTCGCGCTGTAATTGTCGAGTCAAAGGTCGCTGACCTTTGACTTTCCCGTAACCTCCAGGC